ATATAGAGAGAGAGAGAGAGAGAGAGAGAGAGAGAGAGAGAGAGAGATCCCTAAATCCCAAAAGAAGATGAGTAAAAAGTCTCTACTCCTCCCCATCCATCATCAGAAGTGTCCCTTGGAACTAAAAAGGCTGTGTTAGGGCAGCTCCAATGATGATGATGATGATGATTATGATGATGATGATGATGATGATGATGATGATGATGATGATGATGGACACTTGGGCAGTGTCTGATGTGTGATCCAATACAACAGCCAGCAGAGTGATCTTGTTTGCTGTGGACTCATTTTGTTGTGTTTCAAATAATTGGTAAAGGTTTCCTCTTGTCATTAATTTTAGTTGTGTCTGACTCTGTGGGGTGGTACTCATCTACATTTTTAAGCCAAAGAGTCAGCATTGTCTGTAAACACCTCCAAGGTCATGACTGCATGGAGTGCTGTTACCTTCCCACAGAAGTGGTATCTATTGATCTACTCACATTTGCATGTTTTCAAACTGCTAGGTTGGCAGAAGCTGGGGCTAAGAACAGGAACTCACCCTGTCCCACATACTCAAACCACTGACCTTCTGGTCAGCAAGTTCTGAAGCTTAGCAGTTTAACTCACTGCACCACCATGGTCCCTTAATAATAATAATAATAATAATAATAATAATAATAATAATAATAATTGTTATTATTATTATTATTTATTTCCTGCCTCATCTCCTTGAGGGGACTTGGAGTGGCTCACAGCAGTGTAACAGTGCAAACAATAAACAATAATAAATAAGAATAACAATCCACTTTAAAAATAACAATAACAATCAATATGGAAGGAAAATAAGACATATTAAATTGACACAAAACCCAACCCAAGATGAATGTTTCACAAGATTTCCCTGACAAGTTTTGTCCAGAAGGGTTTTGCCTTTGACTTCCTCTGAGGCTGAGAAAGTGTGACTTGCCCAAAATCACCAAGTGGGTTTCTGTGACTAAGCTAGTATTTCAACCAAGTTTATCCAGAGTTTTATTCCAATGCTACATCATACTGGCTTTCAAAGCTCATGCTTTCCCCACATTTGATTGCTATGTTTCAGCCAAACTTTCTAGTCCTCAATACATGACAGCAATGCAATGTCCATGGCTTGATGTAGACCATGTCTCACATGGTCTGCTGAGAGACCGTTATGACCCACGGACAATTGGCCATTCACAATAAACAGGTCTAAGCTCCACCATGATCAAAACACATAAAAATTCACAATGCTGTCTGTTAAAAAGCATCAGCACATAGACAGTGCCTTCCCAAGGAAAGGAGCAGGGGCCACAATTGTATACACACAAACCAAAAGTGGTGTCAATTTTTTACATCCTTCCATATCATTTGCAAAAGGCGTAACTATGGAAGCCTGAAATGACAAGGGAGCTCCTCTGTCGCTCAGGCAGAGAGACACTAAGTTAGTGGTCAACTCATCCTTCTCTGTATTGTCAAAAGCTTGCATGGCTGGAATCGCTGGGTTATGGTGATTTTTCCAGGCTGTATGGCCATGTTCCAGAAGCATTCCCTCCTGACGTTTCACCCACATCTATGGCAGGCATCCTCAGAGGTTGTGAGGTCTGTTAGAAACTTTGCAAGTAAGATTTATATATGTGTGTGGAATGTCCAGGGTGGGAGAAAGAACTCTTGTCTGCTTGAGGCAAGTGTGAATGTTGCAACTGGCTACCTTGATTAGCAGGAAGGAGCCAGGCTTCTCCCACCCTGGACATTCCAGGCTTTGAAACTGCAAGGATATTCAATACTAATCAAACTGGCCAATTGCGACATTCACACCTGTCTCAGGCAGGCAAGAGTTCTTTCTCCCACCCTGAACATTCCACAGATATATAAACCCCACATGCCGATGACTGCCATAGATGTGGGCAGAAACAGCAGGAGAGAATGCTTCTGGAACATGGCCATACAGCCCAGAAAACTCACAGCTATCCAGTCATCCTTCTCTTCCTTCACCTCCTTTGCTCGCTGGAGAACTCTCCATACCAGAGCTTTCCAAATTGTGTGTCTCCACAGGTTCATGTATTGGTGTGTTGGACAAATCAAAACAGAAACCCCTGTGTGATTGTGAAATAGGCAATAAATCATATATTTTAACAAATATAGCTGACATTTTCATGAGATGTGTTGTATTCCCATACATTTCATCATTAAAATTTGTGTTTGTGTGTCCTTATCTCTTGAATATCTGGTTTGTGAATGATACCAAACTACTGTGTCACAGAATAATGCATGTTTGAAAAGTGTATCATCCACATGAAATGTTTGGAAAGCTCTCTCCCTCATCGCCTGTTCATTGTTTGTTTGCTGGCGCTTCAGTCCCTGGGATTTCCTTCTGAACAGAGAAAGCACACACAACCTATTCAGAAGAGATCTTTCTCCTCTGATCAGCCAGACCAAAGCCGGCTATGAAGAGTTGCAGAAGAGAAGCAGGGACTGAGGGATGTTTGGTTTGCTGTGAGTTTTCCCGGCTATATGGCCATGTTCCAGAAGCATTTATTCATAACGTTTCACCTGCAAGCATCCTCAGAGGTTGTGAGGTCTGTTGGAAACTAAGCAAGTGAGGTATATCTATCTGTGGAATGTCCAGGGTGGGAGAAAGAACTCTTGTCTGTTTGAGGCAGGTGTGAATGTTGCAATGGCCACCTTGATTAGCACTGAATAGCCTTGCAGCTTCAAGGTCTGACTACTTACTGCCTGGGGGGAATCCTTTGTTGGGAGGTGTTAGGTGAAGACGATTGCTTCCCTTGCAGCCCTTTCCATACATGATCTGCAGGAGCCTGGCTTTGGCAATGCAGGCTTCTTTAGCCCAGAGAGAAGCACCACCAGGCAAGGCTTGGAAGGACATCCCAAAGAGAGAGCGGGAGAGAAAGAGATGGACTACATCTGGTTTCAACACTGCCCTGGGCTCCATCTGCATTGACCACTGGGATATTAGACTGACAGGCAGTCCCCAAGTTACAAACATCTGACTTACAAACAACTCCAAGTTCAGAATGGCTGAGAGAACAGGAAGTGAGAGAAATCTACCCCTCGGAAGGGAAATTCTCTCCTGGAAGAGTTGCTATCATGGGGAAAAGGCATCTCTCATTGAGCCAGGCAACACTCTCTCACAAAAGCAAGTCCTGCCTGAGGTTTGTGTCATCCCCAAATGCCTTCTTCTCTCCTCTTTTCTATGCAAAGCTCTGAATCTGAGAGATGTGCCCTCCCTGCTGGGACAGCCCTTAGTTTTGCTCTCCTTGGGGAGACAACCAAGCCGCCTTGATAAAAGGAAGCCAGAAAGGGCTCCTGTGAGAGGGAGGGGATTGGGAAAGAGATTCCAGCCCAAACTCTCCTCCATCAGGGATATCTTCTTGCAAAAGAGATCTCCTCAATTGGCACTGGGCTAGGGAATCATAGGACTGGGTTTGCTGTGAGTTTTCCTGAGCTGTAAGACCATGTTCCAGAAGCATTCTCTCCTGACGTTTCACCCACATCAATGGCAAGCATCCTCATAGGTTGTGAGGTCTGTTGGAAACTAGGCAAGAGGGGTTTATATATCTGTGGAATGTCCAGGGTGGGAGAAAGAATTCTTGTCTGTCTGAGGCAAGTGTTAATGTTGCCATTGGCCACCTTGATTGGCACTGAATAGCCTTGCAGCTTCAAAGCCACCCCAGGGTGGGAGAAAGAACTCTTGTCTGTTGGAGGCACATGTGAATGTTGCAATTGGCCACCTTGATTAGCATTGAATGGCCTTTCAACTTCAACAGCTGGCTGCTTCCTGCCTGAAGGAATCCTTTGTTGGGAGGTGTTAACGTGTAGGCAATTTCAACAAAAAGGAGGAAACCATAAAAATGAACAAAATCTGGCTACTAGTATTTTTTTTTTAAAAAAAAACCTCTAAAATCAGGACAGTAACTGAAGAACAAAACTCTGAAAAACAGAGGCATTCCAGGCAACAAACAAACAATCAGGGTCAGCTAACACCTCTCATCAAAGGATTCTCCCAGGCAGCAATCATCAAGGTTTTGAAACGGCAAGGCTGTTCAACTGTCCTGATTTCAGTTTTTGAAGTACTGTTAGCCAGATTTTGTTCATTTTTATGGTTTCCTCCTTTGTGTTGACACGTTAACACCTCCCAACAAAGGATTCCCTCGGGCAGAAATCAGCCTGGCTTTGAAGCTGCAAGGCTGCTCAACTGTCCTGATTTTAGAGTTTTTAAAATACTGTTAGCCAGATTTTGTTCATTTTTAGGGTTTCCTCCTTTCTGTTGACACATTAACACCTCCCAACAAAGGATTCCTCCAGGCAGCAATCATCCAGGTTTTGAAACTGCAAGGTTGTTCAACTGTCCTAATTTTAGAGTTTTTTTAAAATACTGTTAGCCAGGTTTTGTTCATTTTTATGGTTAACGCCTCCCAACAAAGGATTCCCTCAGCCAGCAATCAGCCAGGCTTTGAAGCTGCAAGGCTATTAAATGCTAATCAAGGTGGCCAATTGCAACATTCACATTTGCCTCAAACAGACAAAGAGTTCTTTCTCCCACCCTGGACAGTCCACAGATAGATAAACCTGATTGATTTTCCTAGTGTCCAACAGACCACACAACCTCTGAGGATGCCTGCCATAGGTGCAGGTGAAACGTCAGGAGAGAATGCTTCTGGAAGATGGCCATACAGCCCGAAAAACTCACAGCAACTCAGTGATTCCGGCCATGAATGCCTTCGACAAAGCCCTCGGATTGTTAGTTTGGCAGAGAAGGCAAAAGACTCTGTGAGACGAGTTCCCTGGTGGTCCAAGTGATCTCAAACTGGGTTCATGCTCCAGTGTGGATGGATTCCCTTGCTCCTTCCCAATCTGGACTCCCATCCCGCTTTCCCTTCGCTTTCATCCTAGGGAAATCTCCCAATGGGAGAGCCTTCCTCCCGCGGAGAGTTCTGGATTTGACTCGAAACCGACGCGCGACAAGGAATCTCCCGGGGACCCACCTGTCTCGCGGGACGGGGCGAAGGCAAGAAGACTTCGGCAGTCAGTTCGCCGCGACCCAATCCGGATCAGAGCGTCGAGTGGCTCCCGCTCCCGAGAAAACAAGGCGAAACAAGGAGGAGCAGCCTCAATTCTCCCCCGATGGGCAGCGAGGACCGCCTCCGTCCGGCTCTCGGTTGAAGTGAGCGCCCCAAAGGCGAAGGAAAGGAGAGAGAAGACCCCGGCTGCCTCCGTCTCTCAAGGAAGAAGCAGATCCGTCCCGGAAAGGAGGACGAGGAGAAGCCCGAGCCAGGAAAGAGAGATATGCCCGTGTCACGATAGATGCGAGTGTGTCACGATGGCAGGAAAGTTGGAAAGGCGGAAGGAGCGCAGCCCAGGCAGACAGCAAGGCGCGCGGGAGAGGGAACCGCGGAGAGAGGCGAAGAGAGCGCAGCTGCCGCCGCCTCTCCCTCGCCTGTTTGAACGGGGTCCGGGGGGGCGGCCCTGATTGGACGGCGGGGGCACAAACCACGCCCCCTTCGCCTCCTCCTCGTCCTCTTTCCAAGAGCTGGCTCGCAATCCCCGCCCCCCAAGGCGGGCTACAAGTCAGAGAAGCGCTGCTAAGGCCGGATTTCTCTTTTGTTCCTTCTATTCTTCTCATCCCTCTCCTTTCCTCCTCCTCTCACCCTTCTTTTTCCCCTCCTCCTCCTCTTTTTCTTCTTCTCTCCCTTCTAATCCTCCTCCACCACTCCGCGACGGCGGAGCGGCTCTGCCCGCGGCGGGCGGCACTGGCGGCCGCCTCTGCCGCGGCGGGCGTCCGCTGTCACCACCACCACCGCCTCGTCCGACGCCGCCGCGTGTGTTGCGCGGGCGGTGCCGCACGTCTGGCCGCGCGGCCGCGCTGTGTTCGGCGCCGCCGCCGCCGCGTGGGGCGGCGTGCTCGGCCCGACGAGGCCTCCCACACGGCGGCGCATCACATGGGCCGATGCCTCGGCTTCGCCGTCGCCGCGTCCCCCGCTGGCTGGGTCGGCTAGGCTGCCTGCGCCGCCGGCATCGGTGTGCGTCGCGTCCACCGCCTCCTGCGCGGCTGGCGCCGCGTGGGTGGTCCTCCGGCTGGCCCGCGACGTCTGCCGCGCGGACCCCCGCGGGGGCGGCGGGGCGGCCGGGGCGCCGCGCCGCGTGGCTGGCACCACCGCCGCGCCAACGCGTTGGTGCGCCGCCGCCACCCCGCCGCCGCGGGGGCGGCGCCGGCGCCGCGGCCGTGGAGCCCGCCTCCCGCAGAAATTCGCCGCTGCGTCGGGGCGCCCGCAGCCACCACCACACCCCCCGGCCGCGCCAGACGCCGCGGGGGGCGAAGCCAGCGGGTCCGCGAATGCGGCCGCCAACGCACGCACGTGCGTCCGCCGGGCCGCACAGCCACGTGCGTGCGTCTGCGGCGGCTGCGGCGGCGTGCTGTCTGCTGTCGGCTTCGTCTGCGCAGCAGCATGTCCCGAGGCCTCTTCCCGCCTGCAGCCGCGTGCGCAATATTTCTTTATTCGTCCTCTTCCACCACACCACCTCCTCTCCGGCTCTTCCTCTTTTTTCTCCTCCTTCTTTTCCTCTACTTCTTCCTCTCTTCCTCCTCTTTTCCTTCTCCTCTTCCTTTTCTCCTCTTCCTCTTCTTTTTCCTCCTCTTGTCTTCCACATCCACCACAACCACCTCTTCTCCGACTCCTATTTTTTCTCCTCCTCCTCTTCTTCAACTTCTCCTCTTCCTCTTTTCATACTCCTCCTCTATCTCCTTGTCTTCCTCACCAACCACCATCCCTCCTCTCTGGCTCCTCTTTTTTCTCCTTCTTTTCCGCTACTTCTTCCTCAACTCCTCTTTTTCTTCTCCTCCTCCTCTTCCTTTTCTCCTCCTCTTCCTCCTCTTGTCTTCCTCTTCCAACCAAAAAAAAGAAGAGAAAAAGCTAAAACCAGGAAGAAGCAGGAGGGGGAGAAAGGAGAGGAGGAAGAGGGAAGAGAGGAGGGGGGATATAGGGCCAAAGAAAGGGGATGGAAGGGGGAGGAAAAGGAAGAAGGGAGGGATGGGAGAGGCAGAATACAGACTGAAGAAAAGAAGGGGACAGCAGATGCGAATACGGGGAGGAGAAGGGGAAGGAAGCAACAGGGGAGGAATGGGCCAAAAAGCAGTAAGCCGGCCATTTCGAGGCATGACGCGTAGGAAAAAGTTGATGTTCGGATGGGTATGACCTGAAAATGAGCACATTGGGAGCGACAAGGGCAGCCTACTTTTTAATGCCTCTTCCCATTAATTCACTCCTCCCACCTTATCACTACAACTTACTGAGTTGGGGAGAAGATAACAAGAAAGATGAATGGTTGTGAAGAATAATCATACGGAAAAGAAAGTGTGGGATGAATCATCCAATCACCTCCTGGTCCTTCTTTTTCTCCTCTTCCTCCTTTACTTCTTTTTCTCTTCCTCCTCCTACTTCACCCACCATTCCTCCTCTTCCTCTTCTTTTTCTTCTCCTTTCCTCCTCCCCCTCCTCTTCATCTCTTCCCCCTGTCCTCTTCCCCTTTTTCCCCTCTTTCTCCTCCACTTCTTATCTTCTTGTCTTCCAGACATTGAGCAATTTGGAGTGACACTCAGCCTCTTTTTTCTCTTACTCCTTTTCCTCTACTTCTCTTCCCCTTCTCCTCCTTCTTCCCCCTTCCTTTTCTCCTCTTTCTCCTGTTTTTCTTCTCCTTTTCCTTCCCCTCTACCTTTTCTTCGTCTCCTCCTCTTCCTCTTCTCCTCTTTTTCTTCCTTCTCCACCATCACCTCCCCCTCCTTCAATACACAGTAACGTTATGTACTAATTACTGTATTTACGAATTTAGTACCAAAACATCACAATGTATTGAAACATCTGTGGATCCAGGAGAGAGGCAGACTGCACTGGATAATACAGAATGTTGGATGAGCGAATTTTGGATAAGTGAGACTCTACTGTATATATGCACTGTATGATCAAGTCCAACAACTCAACAGGGAAGAACTACCACTATGCCCGTCTGTGTATCTCAGTTAAGGGATATTCTAAAAGTGATTTTCAGTTATCAGAAGTCAATAGCTTAGAAATAAAGTCTGTGACGAGACTGTAAAATGACAGAATTTGCTTGAAAGGAATACACAGCTCATTAGGGAAACCTACAGTCAATGTCTTATCTTAAGTAGAGTGTCTAGATCCAGAGAAGTCATGCTACTCCTCTATTCTGCCTTGGTCAGACCACATCTGGAATACTGGAATACTGGAATACAGACCACAATTGCAGGGAGATGTTGATAAGCTGGAATGTGTCCAGAGGAGGGCGACTAAAATGATCAAGGATCTGGAGAACAAGCCCTATGAGGAGCTCCTTAAAGAGCCAGGCATATTTAGCCTAAAGAAGAGAAGATGGCCAATATGTAAGAGGAAATCATAGGGAGGAGGGAGCAAGCTTGTTTTCTGCTGCCCTGGAGACCAGGACGTGAAACAACGGCTTTAAACTACAAGAAAGGCTAAATATGCCTGGCTCTTTAAGGAGCTCCTCATAGGGTTTGTTCTCCAGATCCTTGATCATTTTAGTCGCCCTCCTCTGGACACATTCCAGCTTATCAACATCTCCTTTCAATTGTGGTGCCCAGAATTAGACACTGTATTCCAGATGTGGTCTGACCAAGGCAGAATAGAGGAGTAGGCCATGGAAGAAGCATCAGCACAAACGAAGTGGGATGCAATGGAGCTAGAAGGCCAACTAGAGTTCATAAGGACCCAATTAACCAATTGGGATCCATAAAGATCTAATATCTTGGCACTTCAACCAATTCTCCCCAGAATTCTGCTGAGATCATTCTCTTACTAATGAGAAATGCCTTTAATATCCCAACCAACATTATCCTGGAGTAGTTTCTTGAAAAATATTTGCAAATATGGCAAAATGGAAATAACAGGAAGACACAGATGGCAAGATTTCTTTCCCATCTTTTTTCAAAGAACATTGAGGTGTCACAGTTTTCAGTGGTTTTTTTCCATGGAAGCTCTTCAAAGTATTTCTGATACCTCTGGCTACACCAAGCTACATAGTCTACATGTCCAAACTCTGTCCATACTTAACTGATCTTCCCCTTACACCAGTGTTTCTCAACCTTCCTAATGCTGTGACCACTTAACACAGTTCCTCATGTTATGGTAACCCCCAACCATAAATTATTTTGTTGCTACTTCATAACTGTAATTTTGCTACAGTTATGAATTGTAATGTAAATGCAGGATGTATTTTCATTCACTGGAACAAATTTGGCACAAATACCCGATACACCCAAATTGAGTACTGGTGGGGTTGGGAGGTTGATTTTGTCATTTGGGAGTTGTGGTTGCTGAAATGTATAGTTCACCTAAAATCAAAGAGCACTCTGAACCCCTCAAACAATGGAATTGAACATACTTGCCACACAGAACTCCCATGACCAACAGAAAATACAGAAGGGTTTGGTGGGCATTGACTTTGAGTTTTGGAGTTGTAGTTCACCTCCATCCAGAGAGCACTGTGAACTCAAACACTGATGGATCTGGAGCAAACTTGTCACAAATACTCAATATGCTCAATGTGAACTCTGGTGGAGTTTGGGGAAAATAGACCTTGACATTTGGGAGTTGTAGTTGCAGGGATTTATAGTTCATCTACACTCAAAGAGCATTCTGAACCTCAGCAACAATAGAATTGGTTCAAACTTTCCACACAGAACCCCCCTGTCTTGAAGGGACTCACTGACAAGGGCTTCCCCCCAGCCTCGCATGCTCTCCCTCGCCTGCACATGTACACCACGCTGCCATGCACTAAGCACTTCTGCTCTGCCCTCCCCTTTTGGAGTCTTCGAAACACCCCTCCTCTTGGCTGAGAGGCCAGCCAATCACAACAGAAGAGGACTTTAGGTGGCGGATTCGTCTTCTGTTTCCAAAAAGGAAAAGGACAGGTAGAGAGATCTTCAGCCTTCTCTGCCAAAGGGGTTCCTAAGACCAACAGAAACATATGTTTTCTGATGGTCTTTGGGGACCCCTCTGAAACCCTCATGATGCCCCTCCAGAGGTCCTCAGGTTGAGAAATGCTGCCTTAGATAGTTTTATTTTAATTGACTCACAAGTTTTTTAACTGACTCACAAGTTTACTTCTGTGGTATTCTGGGCTGTTATTGGTGAGTCTCTCTTTTCCTTTATCTAGTACAATTATGTGTTGTTCCTCCTTGTTGATGCTGATATTTTTACACTATTTCACACCCCACCTCAACAAAATGTTCTGTTGGCATTAGCAATACGAAACATAGGCTCTATCTAAACATGAGGAAGAGTTTCTTCTCACAATTCTGGGGCTGAGAGTGTGTAGCTCATCCAAGGTGAGTTTCCGTGGCTGAGCACAGATTTAGATCTTGATCTTCAGAATTGTAATCCAACAATAAATTT